GAAAGATTAAATGTTTTTCTCAGCAATTTTGGTCTTGATAATGAAGAACTTAAGGTAATTTATTGTTCTTGGCCTCAGTGCCTCACTTCTGCATTGTTTCACTAATTAGTGTTCACTTGATATATCTGCATTTCTAAATTGCATCCCACTGTGCTTGAAGTGATTTGGCACTGTAAATGATACTGTGAGCAACCTTCTGGGTAGTTTTTTGGAGCAGGCCTTGTGGTAGAGGAATGCTTTTGTCAAAAGCTGTGCTAGCTGAACATAAGTCCATGAAAAACTGCGTTGAGGAGAAGCAATGGCCAGAGCAAAAGCCTAGGAGCCAGAACCATGTTCTAGCCCCAGTGCTTGCTGCTCAGGCTAGTTGCTTAAGCTCTGATTTGTGATTCCCAGAGTCTTTGCATGTGCTGTGCAGTGACATAGTCGGAAAGCTGCTCATCTGTCTCTTTTGTCCCTTTTCAGAGGATGGGGGTCATAATCCTTGAATGATGCTGAGTTCAAGCACATTGAGGGTGGATTAAGGCTGACCCCAGCTGAGATAAGCTCTGGTTTCCTATGTGCCATTTCCTGAGCTATAGGTTAGACTTGGCCTTCCCCGGGGCACATCTGGCTCCCTCTGGGCTGATCCCCATGTGCCTTGGCAGGAGCTTTCAGAAATCTGAATAGCACTGAGGGAAAGGAGTAGGAAAGGGACATTCAAACCTTTCTAAAGATGCATTATCTTTGAAACACAAGCGGCATCATGCTGTATTCCAACCAGGGGAATTAGCAGAAGGGCCCTCCTTGATTTTAAAAGCTTACAAAATAAAAGGGCCCCCAGCCTTCAGGAAGACGCAGATATGCTTCAGGCAGCATGGGGTAGGCCTGGGTATATTTCCTTGTTCTCTGCCTTCTCCGTGACTTGCATTTCTGTGAAGCAGGGAATTCCCAGAGCGAGGCTGCAGTGCGGAGACTGTCAGTACTTTCTCTGGTAGGAAGGGCCTGTGAAACCGTTCCTTGGTATCCTTTGAGAGTGTTTGGATTATTAACAGAAAGCTAATACACCTTTTTTTTTTTTTCTTCTCACTTTCACAATAGCAATGTCTGGGGAGAACAGAGAGAATACGCTCTTCTACTCTGAAATTCCCAAAACCATAAACAAAGCTGCCGTCCTGTTGCTTTCCTGGAAGCCTCTTTTGGATCTTTTTCCGGTAGGTCCTGATTTCTTTCTTGTTTCTTGGAAGTGTAGCAAGTACACAGGCTTTGGGGTTGCACCTATAAGCCATCATTAAAATTTGGAGTTTATTGTCTTAAACATTTTAAGATTCTCCTTGTACTTGGCTAACTCTGCAGCCATCTCAGAAACAAGCACAGCTTTCTCATCAGTGTTTGGATTTACAGCCTCTGTGTGTCATAAAAACTGTATGTGCTGGATGATTCCTCCTTTGCCGGCAGAGATTGCAAGTGCTAATTTGCATCATATTCTCTGCTATGAGATCCTGGGGATTGCTGAAGGAGCCTGTAGTCTCCAATAATCACTGTCTTCCAGGGGGAAGTGATGAGTCCCCCTGAGGATCAGTCAGTGGCTCTGTGACTCATGCTGGAGCAGAGGATTCCTTTCCCACTCACTGGGACATGTGTCCCCTTTTCACCTCTGTGCACAGCAAGCCCGCACCAGTCCCACCCCATGCACTGTGGCAGGTTGGAGGAGGTGGGACAAACCCCTTGTGGAATTAGGTGTGTTCTTTCCCATGTTATTTCCTGAGGCTGTCAGCCAAACATAAAATTCATGCTGTGCTCTCCTCCCACCAGACCAGTCACCATATATCTTTGTGAAAGTTAGCAAAGACACTCCTGCTCATTCTAGAAATGACAGACGTTCAGTCTGATCTTTCTTATACAAGTGTATATTGGAAATAATGCCAGCCTTGCTGTGGGAGAAGTGGCTATCCGGTTTACAGTTGTGTAGGATCCGATCGTGGCCTGCATCTACAAGTGCTGATGGCAGAGGCACAAGCAGGAGCGGGCTTCTAGCCACCAGCAGGATTCTGGAGGAGGAGGGTGTCTGCACAGCCCTCTGCTCCTGGAAGCTTGGCATGCGGAGGCGCTCTGACAGTATAGTAAGGTATGCAGAGCAGAGGTGTTGATTGTGCTTCTCTGCCCGTATTCAGGCCATCCTGGACTACGGGATGTACTCTCGTGAAGAGGAGTTGCTACGGGAGAGGAAGCGAATTGGCACCATTGGGATTGCCTCTTATGATTACCACCGAGAAAGCGGTACCTTTCTGTTTCAGGCTGGGAGTGGAATTTATCACGTAAAAGATGGAGGCCCTCATGGATTCACTGTGAGTTTACTCATCTCTCCTGTTTTCTGCAGTACTACTTTCCTCTGGCTAGAAGCTCCTTTGGCTTGGAGCAAAAGCAGAGCGTAGCCTTGACAACCCTTGAAATGCAGAGAAGTCCTCCATAGGCATGCATTTCCATGGCTGTAGAAACTCAGATGGAGAATTACAAGAAATGGTAGAAACCAGGGCAGCAAGGCAGGACACCAGATTTTGTTGATTTTTCATAAGTAGCAATGCCAATAAAAAGCAGCACAAAGGCTGTGATGCTCCATGCTCTTTCATGTAGTCAGAAGTCACATCAGAGGCAGCTTTTGTTCCCAAGCTGTCGTTTAGAGGTCACTGTTCAGCAGTCAGTGCTGTATGTGTTACAAGATTTGGCTGTATAACTTGCAGAACAAGCAGCCTTTACTTTGCTGGTGCTGAAGCTGGACTTCAAAGCTGAAATAATTTCTTATTATTATAACAAATGCCTGATGTCTGTCTAACCCTGTTGTCAGGGGGAATTTACTGTACCCTGAGTTGCTTTTGGAGGACAAGACTGTATGTTCTGCCAGCCTCTTTTTAGGGTGCTGTTTTTAAGAGTATGCCAGGCTTCTCTAGGCAAGCTGCCTTCTGATTTGTGGCTAATCCTCAGCACTGGTGAAAGAGGGATCTGTGCAACCATGGTAGAAGCACAACTTTCCCTATAAAATACCTGCATAGTATTTTTCTGTGTTTAAAATTGATAGATTCCTCTGCTGTAAACCTGTGTATTTGAAGTCAGTGTCCACACTACTGTAGTCTTAGAGACCTTCTGATAATCCAGTTTAGTTTCTGTAAGTGTCCATGTGTAATCATTGTTTACTGTGCCTTTGTTTTTTTCCTTTCAAACAGCAACAGCCTTTAAGACCCATTCTGGTAGAGACCAGTTGTCCAAATATCCGTATGGATCCCAAGCTTTGTCCAGCTGATCCAAATTGGATTGCATTTATCCATAGCAATGACATATGGATATCTAATATAGAAACCAGAGAAGAAAGGAGGCTAACATTTGTGCACAATGGTAATGCATCCTGAATTAAAATCTCTGTACCTCCTCTGCACTTGTTCTTGCTAGACTGAATTAAGCAATGGCACTAGGGGTTCTTCTGAAATCTGGGGGAATGGATGCTGTTTATTCCACCTTGTTTGTCACATTCTATGTGTTTTCTCTAGTGCAAATATTGTGGGATGATTCTTTTCCCTGCACTGTGGAATCTGGCAAAGTGAGTTATTTGTTGAATACACATGGAAGGGCTCTTCTGAAACACAGCACATTCCTTTTTACTGGAACAGCCTTTTTTGTGTGGAGGAGCTGTGGGTGGAATAGAGCTGGAGGAAAGTTTCTGTCAGTGAAATCAGGCTGCAGGCCTTTTAGAAGCAATATAGAGAGTTTCTGAATATGACTGTGGCTTTTGCTGGCCCCTCATACTCAGTCACTTAGGTCCTCGCTTCTTACCCTCTCCAACTCTATTTTAGACATGTATCCTGGAGGAAGGAAAATGGGAAATTGTTGATAAAACACTTTTTAAAAATCGATTGCATTTTTTATTTAAATCATACTTTGTATTTAAACTATATCATTTAAATTTTAGTTAAATTAAAATTTCTGACACTTTATAATAATGCTTTAGCTTATTTAAATGTTAAATATTAAAATATTATGTAAGTACATTAAAAATAAACTGTAGCAATGACTCCTTCTCAGATGATAATTATTTATGGAGCGCTGCTAAGTTACCTCCAGGGTAACAGGAAAAATATTGAAGCCCTATGGATATGTCATCATGTTGAGATGTTATGTAAGTCTGTTACTTTTGGTTTGTACAGTGAATGAAATGCTGATGCTTTCATTTTCCCGAATGTTGATATTTTCAGTCTCAGTTGTTCAGAAAGGTTTGTGGGGTTTTTTTTTCTTTGATTTTTCTTAAAAGTTGTGGTTCCAATTCACTGAGCTCAGGTAGAGAGAACATTTTCTTTCTTCGACTAGTACATAGAAAATTGAGAGACTAATTGGGTAGAGTAGGAAGGGAGGATGGCTTTCCTTTCCTAAAAGAAGCTGCCATGTCAGAGAAGATTAGATCCTCCGTAAATAAATCAACAGAGCAGGATGGAAGCAGAAAACAAATCTGCTGAGAAGTCAGATTTATTATTGTGTAATTGTTCCTGGGGAGTGAACTTGGGCCGTGTTTGGGATAATGCAGAACTGGTTTGATTCTGCAGTACATCATGAACACTTTTTTGTCTTCTTTTAGAACTGGCCAATGTTGAGGAGGATCCAAAATCTGCTGGTGTGGCTACGTTCGTGCTGCAGGAGGAGTTTGACAGATACACTGGCTACTGGTGGAGCCCAAAGGCACAGCCAAGTAAGTGTGGTGGATCCAGTGTGTCTGACAGGCCCAAGTAGTGGCCCCCCTGCTGTGCTGTCCAGTGCAGAGGTTGGTTTTTTTTTCTGTTACTTGTCTTTATGCAAGATAGGAACGTTATAGCTCCTTTTGAACTGTCTGCAACGGTGGGCATGTTACGGTGGCCTTGTGAGCACATGTTACTGGGGGAAGAGACTTTCATTCTCACAACAGTGGTAGGAGTTGTAAGAGTCTCAGAATGTTATGCTTAATGAAACATGAATCGCACACTTGGTTGGATTTTTCTTCATTCTTTCAACCTGCTTGTGCTCCTGAGAGAATGTTGATGCCTGCAATAACTGATAATGAGAGCTGTTCTGACCAGAAAATGTTAATTCATTTACAGCACTGAATGGGGGTAAAGTTCTTCAAATTCTTTATGAAGAAAATGATGAGTCAGAGGTGGAAATTATTCATGTCACATCGCCCATGCTGGAGACAAGAAGAACAGATTCCTTCCGGTACCCCAAAACTGGTGAGACCCTGATACCTTACATCTCTGTTTCTGGGAGACACATATTTTATTCCCTGTGCCTGACAGCAGTGACTCTCCTAGCCTAGAGCACGGGGTTGTTGGAGCGGTGTTGAGTAGTCTTTGAGTTGGTGTCCAGGTGGTGGAAATGTGTTTGGGGAAAATGCTGCTGGGGAGGTTAGATTAGTCACTGGTGACTGTGCTGATATTCCAGCCATGTGCTTACTAGGAGCTCTGAGACTGGGTGTCTCAGGAGTTGGCAGAAACCCTATCTGATTGTCACTATTTTGGAGCTGCTGTCTCAGATCCTGGCAGATCTGAGTTGTTAGGGGTTGATTCTCATTACAGCCCTGTGTCTCTGAGGGAATAGCTGCAGAATTATGGCCTTTTGATTTTTTGGGAGGGTTTCTGTTTAGCTGCTGGCAGTGCCCTGGTAGTTAAGTTCTGAAGGGCTCTGGTCTCCGTGTTGCTCTTGGACTTTGAACAACAAACTCAGCGTGCGTACAGCCTACCAGGAAAGCTCCCTGCTGTCATATTTTCAAACAGTAAATGAGCTGGAGGCTTCAGCAGTAAAGGGGTGAGGGCAGGCTTGAAGCATATTAAGTGGAGTGCCATTGGAAGCAGGGAAGTGGGACTTATGCAGACCTGCTGGGGGCTGATTCACTGGCATGTGTCAGGTGCACGGGGCAAATTTGAATAGTCCGATCCTTGTTCTTCTGAGATTTCCCTGCTGTTACGGCAGGGCGTGTTGCTTGCAGATAACAGTGGTTCACTCTCCTTCCTCACTCCTGAAATCTTAATTTTTTGAAGAAATATCTTCTGTTTGGCTGACCTTCCTAAGCTGTGGAATTCATTCAGATCTTGCAGATTCCCTGATCCACTGGGAAAAGTTTTCTGCTTATGATCCTGATTTACTACTTGTTTCAAGGAGGAAGAAAGGCTCAGTGTTAGCCTGGGAAGCAAGACATGACTCCTCGTGTTTTTTCAGTGCTTGTGTACACCCAGATTTCTGAAGGTATTTTGTCATAGCTTTTTTCAGTGCTAAGTTTCAGCAGTATAGGAAAATGAGCCAACCAAAGCCCAAATCCCTTTAAAAAAAAACAAACTAACTAGGTTTTAATGTCTGGGCCTTAGTTTCCAGTCTGAGCTGCAGGGGCACTAGCCCTTTTCTGTGGGTTGTTATGAGGGCAAAGCTTGAGGTAGCGGAGAAAATTCTTCTCAGGGAGAAGGTAAGTATTTAAATAGGCCAGCACTGTGGCCCAAGGCAAGTTGTTTCACCTCAGTGCATTAGTTTTTGTGTATAAACCGGGTTGATGAAGTGGGAGTACTTCACAGCAGCATTGAGAATATTCAGAGTACATGGAATTTGCCACGTGTGGCTTCTTCTGGATCAACTGGCAGCGGCTTTATTCTTTATAGTCCATCTTTTCTTGCTGTGGAGCAGGCCCCAGCATTTAGCACTGCAGGTGCTGTACAGCAGGATGAGTTGCTGCTTTGTGTAAAGAGTTAACTTCAGATTTTCAGTGTTCAACACAAATATGTAGCTTTATTATCTTAACTGCACGAGTCATGGCAATAGGTTTTTAAGCGTTTAATTTTCACCGTTTAATTTTTACAGATGCTTTTTAGCACTGAATCACTTTCTATGTACCATCTTAAGAATAACAGCCAAACAGTAAACCAAAGCTTGCTTTGCTATCCTGATCACTCGTGAGCATTTACTTCCAAATAGTATGTGCATCCTTTGACTGTGGGAGAGAAGACTGACTGTGTCAGTAGCATGGCTCTTGATGAGATCTGTTTGCGGGATTACATCCACTGAATCTGCCTCATGTTTTCAGTTTCTTTTTTCCCTGCCTGCTTCTGTGCTCTCTCACACATGCAAGTAGGCTATTTGATCAAAGAGCATTCTGCTGTTTGCCTTTCCCAGTTCTGCATGAATAACACCACAATAACCCACAGTTCAAGTCTGCCCTCTTGGAAGCAAACAATTGGTGCCTGACTGCTAACATCTGTTTTTATAGGTACAGCAAATCCAAAGGTCACTTTCAAGATATCTGAAGTGACAATCAATGTGGAAGGCAGAGTAAGTTCTATGTTCTGCTTGTTTTCCAAATAAATACAATTTCTGTGATTCTTTTTTGGTAAAATTCATTTTCCAGCTCAGTACACATAAACATCCTTGGTTGTGATAGCTTAATGGCTTCTCTGGAGGCAGTGCACTTGGCTCATTCCTGTGCAGATACTTGGTGTCTGTGTGTGCAGCAGTATTTCTCAAGGCTATGCTTTCCTTCCCTACTACTGGTTTATGAACTCAGCTGCGGAGCAGAATATTTTAGGTGTGGATGGTTAGGCCTTCTTATGTGACAGATCTCTTGATTGGCTGCAGATATTGGGAAAATTTGATTGCAAAGAGAATATATCACCTTACAAAAGCATGAACATATGGAAACAGATGAACTTTGCTTTCACCCCGGGATTTTTTAACAGATGCAGAAATTTCCATAGCCCAGTCCAAGATCTTCGGACAGTTGGGAAATTAATCTTACCAAACAGATACAGTAGCAGCCATACGTTATTGGGATTCTCTCTACTCTTGAGCTACTTCAGCCATCAACAGTCACCTGCTGGTGTAGCGATGCTGATGTCAGCCAGCAAAGGCAGGGAAAGCCATCAGGACCCTTTGGGTACTGCTGTGACTTGTTCCCAGTCCCAGCAGGGAGAGACTGCAGAACTGCATATCATAAATTAGAACCACGTTGATAACTGGATGTCACACAGGATGTTCAACATCTACCGATGAAAACACCTTACAAAATAGCTCGGTACAGATCACTTCCCCTTTACAGGGGGAAACTGAGTGTTCAAGTGACTTGTCCGAGATGAACGATGGATTTGCGAGCAGCATCCAGATTTCTCAAGTCCCAGCCCTGTCTGTGCTGGTAGTGTGCAGCTCTCCTACTATGCTGGTGTCTGGCTACAGAAGGGGTTGAATCCCCTGTGTTGCAAAGGCTGAGCAATCTAAATTGCATGAGCTGCACAGAAGAAGTCTTCTGTGTCCAGACTCTCATCGTGCATGAAAATTGGTTGGGGGGGGTTCATCTCAGTGTCACTGAATTGCTGCTTTGTCAACAGATTGCAGATGTTGTGGATAAAGAGCTAGTTCAGCCGTTCGAGATCCTCTTTGAAGGAGTAGAGTACATTGCTAGAGCTGGGTGGACGCCAGAAGGAAAATAGTGCGTATGTTAATCCTATCTCTGCTTAGAGGGTTTGGGGCAATACAGTTAGAAGCAGAATGTAGTGGTCTCTGTCTTCTTCAAGCTTCAGCCTGCTTTCAATTTTACATTGCTACGAACTTGTTTGTGCAAAGGGGACGATTTTTCCAAAAACCAAAACAGAGTCCTCCTTGTCTCTTTCTCTGGTACCTGGCCCTACTGCTTTGGTATTGGGCACTCACAGCCTTTGATGTATGTGTCCTCTCAGCATCCCTGTGAGAGAGAGAGTGCAGTGCTATTATCCCCATTTTACAGATGGGGAACTGAAGCCCAGAGAGGCTAAGTGACTTGCCATGGTCACACAGGAAGTCTGTGGCTGAGGAGAGAAATGAGCCCAGGTCCCCCAGGCCCTAGGCTAGCGCCCTAACCACTGGACCATCCTTGCTGACCAGACTTACTGATCAGAAAACCTGCTGTAAGTGCTACTTACATTTGCATGTCATTTTTAACCCTGTAGATGATGTAGTTCAGTGTTTCTAACTCACCAGAAGTTTCTCCAGAATTGTACTTCTCCAGTTCTTGAATCTAAAGATGGCTTTCACCTTTTTCATTTATTTCTTTCCGCCCCCCCAAATGTGGAAGAAATGCAGGGACACATTTGCTCCATTATCTTGCTTTTTGCAGAATTATTGTTAGAGCTACATGTAAAGTCATCAGAAGTATGGCAGGGTCTGCTGCCAGTCCATTTAGGTGCCAGTATTATTCTCTTGTCAGGTATAGATTTAAAACATCAGTATTTTCACAAGTATCCTGAAATTTAAATTGAAATTTTTCTGTTTCATTGTTCCATCTGATTTTTCTCTTCTCTTTCTCCCCTAAAGCACAGTTCAAATCTGGGAGAACAGAATTAATTAAACTTTTGAACCGGCAGTGCTTACGCAATATTGAAATGAAGTGAAATAAGTTCTTGTGTTGTGGAAGAGATTTGTTTATGTGGGTGACATTTTACATGTGGCTTTGTGCTTAATCTGAAATTGAACATTCTTGACTGCCTCAAAATGCCTAGTGCTAATGAGTGTCTGTCAAGATTTTCAGACCTGTCTAATACTTACGGTTGCATGTTATTTTCTCTAATATCTGTCTCCTCAACAGCATCTGGTCCATTTTACTGGATCGCTCCCAAACTCGACTTCAGATAGTCTTGATCCCTCCTGCATTATTCATCCCCACAGAAGATGATGCAATGGAAAGACAGAAACTTATCGATGCTGTACCAGATTCTGTTACACCTTTCATTATTTATGAAGAAACAACAGACATCTGGATAAATGTAAGAATATGAATTTCAGCCTTCTCTGACAGCTTGTTGTTCAAGACCCTATTTGTAGCACTTGAGCAACGTTGGTGCTACTGTGCTGCCTAGGAGAATTTTCCCATTGTACAAGTTCTGTGCATATTCTGTGCTTCCTGCTGTAAAGAGTTCACAGTATGTAGAGAACAGAGAGATTTGGGATGTGAAAGCAGAGCTGCTTTGCTTGAGGCTGCACAGTGGTCAGACAGAGCTAGGAGCAGAGCCCAGGGCTCTGGCATTTCAGAGCAGCCCCTTGCCTGCAGTGTTACCCACTGACGCCCTCCGGCTTCTTGGTGCCAGTTGTTCACCAACGCAGTGCCAACAGGTAAAGTATTCTTCAGCCAACAAAGATCTATCTAGCTGATATTGGGTGAACGAGTCCCCAGAGTCTGCTAACAGTCACTAAAACCCCTCCTTAACTACATATGGTCTAGTGAAATAGATTTGTGTGTAATGTTCTCGGAGGTGTGCCCTAGGGCCTCTGCTGTGAGACCGGACACCGGTGTGCTTAGGCTAATGCTGTAAAAATGAGTGCTGTTCACACATCTGCAGATAAAGATCGATGTCGTTAAAATAGCATCCCGTTGGAGGTGTGCCAGGGTGCAGGAAGGCCTGATCACTGACAGGTAGTTGGATCTTTCAGCAGAGAGCATTTGCACAAAGCCTTCTAGTGAATGATCTCTATACAGCGAGTGCTCTCTCTGATACCATGTTTTCTCCTTAGTAATAGTGTGCGTGGTTTCAGGATGGTGCAATGACTTGTCCTTTCTCCATTATTTTCGCTGGCTGGAGTGGTTTTTGACTGGCAGCTTGTACTGTACAGATAAATGCCCCCCAGTCCCTCAAAAGATTGTCCCTTGAAGCAAGAGTTGGCATCTTCATGAGTGGGAAGATGATGTCAGCTCATCTTTCTTTAAATAACCCTTCACTTGTGGGCTTCCAGACAGCACTGGACAGAGGAGGCCACTGAACTCTGGCTTCTCTGGGTGGCTCTCATATGCTGTCTGCAGAGCTGGACCCACTCTGTATCTAAGCTAGAAAGGCAGGTGCAGAAAAATTTACTTAATTACTTTGGTGGCCAGAAGTTAGAGTTAGACTAGCAAAAAGCCTGGAGCTGTGCAGCATATGTGGCCCCTGCCTGCAGACACCCCCTGACTCATAAGCATAACTGGTTCTCCCAGTAAGGGACAGTGCTGCACCCTGCTAGTGTGAACTGTGTTGAGCAGTAAGAGGAACTTATTATGTGTGACTTCAGTGCCAAAGTGCTGCTGATAACAATAAACCACTGCTCTGTCTCCACAGATCCATGATATCTTCTATGTTTTCCCTCAAACCCATGAAGATGAGATAGAGTTCATTTTTGCCTCTGAGTGTAAAACAGGATTCCGGCACCTATACAAAGTCATCTCGGTTTTGAAGGAGAGCAAGTATAAACGGTCGTGTGGAGGCCTCCCTGCTCCAAGTAAGTGAAATTATTCTTTTGCTTTAATTGGGCATGTACTGCTGACTAGTGAGGAAATAAGTGTCCTTCCAGGTGGCAGGAATTATTGTCTTATTGGAAACTCCTGCTGTTGTCCAGGAAAGCACTTCACTGTACAGTCATTCCTCTTGAAATTGTACAGGGGTTATTCTGTATTTAGCATGCCTTAGTTTTAACCCTGATTCTTCCCCATGGACTAGAGGGAAAAGTTTTAAAAAATCAGATGGGGAAACAAGCTCCCTGTGATACTGTGAAATGCACTTAGTTGGCTTTTCCTTGTCGATGTTGGGACTGTTTGTGCGCTGAATTTGCCAGAGGTTAATCATTATAGCAATAACATGGCTACCTCTGATGTGCAGGGTCCAATGTATCTAACAGATGCACACTGGTTTAGGACTTGATTTTGCAAGTAAAACCAGCATAGTCCCTGTCAGCCTTTTTACAAGCAGATTGGTAGCAGAGAGGCTGACAAAGAGCACAGTTTGAACACACTGTAAAAAGGTCCATAGAGGGCCTCCCTGTCTGAGTGGGCCCACATGTTAGTCCCTTTAAAATGAACATATGTGCTTGGCAGCAAAACCTATGATGACAACTATTCAGAGAATTCCTCTCTGCTCTTAAAAACAATCATGGTATTACTGTATAGACAGAGATGTTAGTAGGAGAAAATTACTGGCAGCTGTTGCAAATGGAAATGGAGGAAGAGTTATTTCAAGCAAAAAAAATTCAAGGACCGCGTGCTTCTGAGCTGCAGTCAAAGTTTGGTCTTGCTCAGATGCATGATATAGCTGTGTGCAAAGCTCCCAGAGTGGCTTTTCCACAGCATGTATTCTTTAATTTACAGTTTCATGCTGTGATACTTAATTTACTTGCTGAGTGTTGAAGGCACTTACTGAGCTCTGCATGCACAAAAAATACACTTAATTTTACTAGAGGTCCTAGTTTCATGCAACTGTTGTTTTTTTTCCCCCCAGATAGCATTATATCCTGGGTTGATTAGATTTCTCTGAATGCATCCGACTTCTTTTTCTCGCTAAATCTCCTTCATTCTAAGGGAAATGAAACCATCTTATAAAAGCAGAGTTGTTCCCTACCCTGTTGCAAAGTTCCACATTTTTTCACACCTGAGATTCCCTTTGCACACCCATTTTTCAGTATAAAACCTCTATTTCTGTGCAAGTGACAAAATACTTAAAAAAAGCAAGCAAGCTGTCCAGGCCTCGGGTTGCATCCTGTGAATCCTTTAACATATATTTCACAGAATGTTAAATAGTACTAGCCCTAACATTTGTCTGGGGAGCTGGCAGAAGTGTGGGTCTTCCGCAAAGGCAAGTTGCTCTTGGGTTTAGTCCAGTAAAAAAGCTTGGAAAGAAGTAGTATTATTGTGACCCTGTGTTTCGTAAAATGTAAAAGTGTAAAATCTCTGTTTGTGTGTTGGTTATTTGCAGGTGACTTCAAGTGTCCCATCAAAGAGGAGATAGCAATTACCAGTGGAGAATGGGAAGTGCTTGGCAGACATGGATCCAATGTAAGTCTCCGCTCTTGCTGCATGGATATCCTGCAAGCAGCACACACTGCAAGGAGGTGGTCTCTGGGGCCTCACAGATCAGTACATGTCACATTCATGAGGCTCTGCTCCCTGAGAAGAGTGGACCTTGCCCCTCCCTGGTATTGAGTTTGAGCATATGTATCATGTGGGTGTTTTTGGTCTACAGTGTGCTTTCATTCTTCTCTACCTCTGATATGCTATTCTGGACCAGAGGTTGTGTTTTTGGAAGTGTGGGAAAGCAACACAGGCAACATTAGTTGGCTTTTTTATCCTGCATGTTCCTGTGTGGATCCTTGTCAACAAGGAGTTTTCCCCACTAAGTTCAAGGCTTTAAGAGGAGGAGAAGGGAGCAAAAATACCGCAAGGCAGCAGCGAGGAAATTCCACATGTTCCATGAGCAGCAAGATGTCATGATGGTGTCCAACTGTTGTCCTGGAATCAAGAGATACTCGTTGGAGGGATCAGCATAAATCTATTAGCCCTGTCTCTTTTTAGGCAGAATACAGTGTTTACGTTCCATGTAGCCTGTGAGCTGGCACAAGGAGGGAGGGAATGCTCCCCAAGTTGCCGCTCTTCTGTCTCTGAGCTGGATGAATTCTTTGATCATTTGAATCAAACAGCAGTTCAAGGAGAACTCTTTGGCTAGTTTGGACTTTGTAAAGGTCTTTGAAATCCTTCCTAAATGGTAATTAGAAACGGGGTTAGGGAAGGAGGTGTGCAAATTGACCTGCATTTGAATCTGTTCTGCTGTCTGCTCAAAAAGAAGGGACAACTGGGGAATATTTAACATGGCAGTGGTTTACAGTCAGCTGCTGCCTTGATTTCCTTCTGGGGTGGTTTATATCATATGTGATTTGGGAAAAGGTCTGAAGAGTGGGGAGATGACAAAGAATGGGGGACAGAGTTATTTGAGGGACGGGATACCATCCGGAGGGACCTGGACAAGCTCAAGAAGTGGGCCCATGTGAACCTCATGGGGTTCAACAAGGCCAAGTGCAAGGTCCTGCACCTGGGTCGGGGCAACCCCCAGTATCAATACAGGCTGGGGGATGAAGGGATTGAGAGCAGCCCTGCCGAGAAGGACATGGGGGTGCTGGGGATGAAAAGCTGGACATGAGCCAGCAATGTGTGCTTGCAGCCCAGAAGGCCAATTGCATCCTGGGCTGCATCAGAAGAAGCGTGGCCAGCAGGTCGAGGGAGGCGATTCTGCCCCTCTACTCTGCTCTGCTGAGACCCCACCTGGAGTACTGCGGCCAGCTCTGGAGCCCTCAGCATAAGAAAGACACGGACCTATTGGAGTGGGTCCAGAAGTGGGCCAGGAAAATCATCAGGGGGCTGGAACACCTCTCCTATGAAGAAAGGCTGAGAGAGTTGGTGTTGTTCAGCCTAGAGAAGAGAAGGCTTCGGGGAGACCTTATTGCAGCCTATCAGTACTTAAAGGGGGCTTATAAAAAGAGATGGCAGCAAACTTTTTAGCAGGGCCTGTTGCAATAGGACAAGGGGTAATGGTTTTAAACTAAAAGAGGGTAGATTTAGGCTAGATCAGATTGAAGAAATTTTTAACGCTGAGGGTGGTGAAACACTGGCCCAGGTTGCCCAGAGAGGTGGTGGATGCCCCATGCCTGGAAACATTCAAGGTCAGGTTGGACGGGGCTCTGAGCAGCCTGATTTAGTTGAAGATGTCCCTGCCCACGGCAGGGGGGTTGGACTAGATGACCTTTAAAGGTCCCTTCCAACCCAAACTATTCTATGATTCTATTTAACACAGCAAAAAATAGGGGAGACTGGGAAAAGTAAAGGACTTGCATGAGAGAGCTGAGCAACAAGGTGTGAAGTGCAAATCATAACTGACAGAGTTGTGGACAGTAAGAACAGTCATTTGGCTTATTCCTTACAGATTGTTGGGCTATAACTCAGCTTTATGGAAGTGGGGTGGGGGAGGAGACTTGGAGGCAGTAGAACTGGGTATTGTTTTGGCAAGAAACAATATTGAGGGATGTGTTGTTTTGGTTTTGACAGATCTATGTTGATGAAGCCAAAAAAGTGGTGTACTTTCAAGGCACAAAAGACTCACCTTTAGAGCATCACTTGTACGTTGTTAACTACGAGAATCCTGGAGAAGTAAAGCGGCTGACAGAATGTGGTTACTCTCACTCCTGCTGTGTCAGCCAGGTACCTGTTTGCCTGTGAGGCCCTGTATAGGCAAGGCTGGCTGGGTGTGCTGTGGCTTATTGGCAGTCTTGTCCTTCATCAATCAGCAGACAAGGCTGTATTTGAATATAACAAAAATAGATTTTACACTCTGTTGTGTGCTCCTGTATGTTGTACAGTGAGTGCATAAACCCACCCTGGAAACCAGATTTGACCTCCCGGTTCAGTTGCTCTTCAGCTCACCTCAGGCAAAAGGAGCCAGGATGAATTGTTTGAAACTGTTTGAGCTTGGCTCTTTTTGCCTGAAGCAGGCTGTAGAGCAATTGCCAGAGATGAGCCTGTGGCAGCGTTGGGTGGGGTTCGAGGTTTCTGGCGCAGTAGCCCGTTCAGCTGGGAATGCTTCACCCAGAAGAGGATTTGTGACAAGGTCCTCATGCCACTGTTGGTTTTGCAGGTGTGTTTTTGGCTTTGGAATGTTAATATCTGAGTTTTGCTAAGGACTTTAGCTTCTCAGAATCTATCTGCTATCAAAAGAGCCCAAACTTCCTGATTTAATTTGGTCCATAAACATCTTCTGAAAGATCTAAATGCAGAAAAAAGTGATCTTGCTTGTGCCTCCGCGCTGAGGAGTTCAAGATAATGTTCTTTTTCTCCCTAGGATTGTGACATGTTCATCAGCAAGTACAGTAATCAGAAGAACCCACACTGTGTGTCACTTTACCGGCTGACAGGACCTGAAGATGATGCAGCTCATAGGACAAAGGAATTCTGGGCTACCATTTTAGATTCAGCAGGTAACAGCATGGATAAGGGACAGGAAAAGGACAACCAGCATCACAGAATGAAAGATATCCCAGAATATGCTCGCTTGAGATTTGCTGTTGTGGGTGACTAGACTTGTCTCTGAAACTCATGTTTGTGTGAGGAGTTCTTGGAGGTACCTGAGTGACATTTTCACCTCAGCAACGAATGGGTATAAACTGGCCATAATGGAATTTAGAGTGGAAATTACTAAGTTTCTGCTGCTAGAGCCAGTAGAAACTGTAGAAAGCCAGTTTTAGCATCGGGGGAGGGGTTTAAGTGCAGTCATTTACTCTGTGCTATATGCCTGCTAATGAGCATATATAATGCTCTGGGCCTCTGGGGAGGGTCATACACTCTGTAAATAGTTGTGTGCTGCTTCCTACTCACGTCTTCGTGAGACAGCTCTTGGGCTTTTATTTTTCCATTTTGTTTCTATTCCCTTTCATCTTTCCTTCCCCAAGGCATACTCTATATCCTATGCTTCCCATGTATTAATGCAGTGAGTCCAAAGTGGGGTTAGGAAGGGATGGGATACCTGTAATGGCTGTGTCAGGGGAGAAGAGTTACTACTGTTCAGAGGAGAGCAGGGATGGGAATGTGATAGGACTGAGAAGGCTCCCCCAGGGCTGGGGCATTCCCAGTCTCTGCCTGGTGCCAGTCACATCCACTGGGAAGTGTGGGAGAGCTCCATTGGGATTGCAGCGAGATTGGTGATGGGGGCAGGGCTGGAGCAGAGCTGCGTTATTCATCCATTCCCTGTTAAACCAGACTCTCTGTTCCCTCCTGTGGCAGGCCCTCTTCCTGATTACGTTCCCCCAGAAGTGTTCTCCTTCGAGAGCTCCACAGGGTTTACGCTCTATGGGATGATGTACAAACCTCACAATCTGCAACCTGGAAGGAAGTACCCCACTGTGCTCTTCATCTATGGAGGGCCACAGGTGAGTGTGGCATGTTGGTGTGGCCAGCAGTGGGGCAGGCTGGCCTGGATCACTCCACTGCTGTCCTGTATGAACAGTTCCTGCTCTGTGCTGAGGATAGCGTGCAGTTTTTTGCCTGTTTGGTGACTAGCTGCTTGGCCAAAGGTGCTATAAGCGGTCATGATTTCCAGATCATAGATCGAGGCACTGCCACTTGTCTGAGAATAGGTATGGAGTAGCAGAGCTGGAACTGGGATAAAGGGGAGTGCAGGTAGTCCCCGTTCCCTGTTCAATCTCCCCCTCCTCCGTAGGGGCTCCTGTTCTTTGTTTCCACTTCCCCCATGTGTATGTGAGGGGAGCTCTCTGTTAGCACTGACCATTAAGCACTGTGTGTGCTTAGGAGAGCTTGCTCCCCAGTCCTCCTTTTCCCCACTGATGAAGAGGAGAAGGTGAGCCCCTTAGCCCTGCTTTGGTTCCCCCAACTCTACTGTGCCCTGCTATGGTCCAAGGCAGCTGGAGTGAGACTTGGTGAAGGGAAAGATTTTCTCCTGGGGAAGAACAGAGGGAGTAGAGAGCAGAGCTGCAGGCTCAAGCTTGGGTTGTGCTGTCAGCAGCTGCCCCTCTTGCTCTATGCCCATTGGTGCTGCAGTGGAGCTCAGTTCAGCTCTTCATATCTGTGACACAGAATGGCTTGTTACTGAGGGAAGAGAGTTTATTTCATAGCAGACCACAAGCAGGGAGAGCGAATCCTGCAGCAGGGAGTAGGGATCTTGAAAACTGCACATTATAAAAATGTATAAAACATTTAAAGGAAAGGAAATATAAATAAAATCTGAAATTGGATTAAGAGGTGACCTCTGGATTCCATTACATAAGTGGTTGTGTTACTGCTCTTCTTCTGTTCCAGGTACAGCTAGTGAACAATCGGTTTAAAGGAATCAAGTATTTCCGTTTGAACACTTTGGCATCTTTAGGCTATGTCGTTGTTGTCATTGACAACAGGGGGTCCTGCCACCGAGGGCTGAAGTTTGAAGGAGCCTTTAAATACAAAATGGTAAGTGGAGCTCTGAGTCTGGCTCTTCATTTTCAGCCAGAGGCAGGTTTGAGTCCCAGTGTTATCTGAGCTGAAGCACTGATTTGGCACAGATGCCCAGCATTGCCTGTGTGATGCTGCCTAGGTTTGGGGAGGGGAACTGCATATAGTTGAGCACTGTGGATTTGAGGGAGGAAAGGTGTTCAATGTGGGAAAGAGATTATGTCAGGGTTTGAGGTTGCGAACCAACTCCAGCTTGGCAGGCATAACGCGAGGTGGTTCATAAGGGGGTCTCTGACTTCCACCAGATATGCTTTGCTGATCACATGAAGCAGGATAGTTTCATTACAGTGTGGGTTACTATTTAAGGCAGTTCCTGTGTCAGGCTGGAGAGGGTGAGTGTGTTTGGCCGTGTGTACAGGCAGGGAGGGCCTGTGCCAGGCTCTGCTGGCTTTGCAGTGTACCTCGCTGTGTGTTGGGAATGGCATTTTCATGCACAGAGCTAGAATGCAGCCTTGCTTTTGTAACAGCAAAAAGCGAAAACACTGAAAGATCTTAATTGTCCCCACGCAAGGAGACAAATGAAGAAAAGGATAGTTAGAGGTGGGTTAGCATGTATTTATTGTCTTATGGGGGAAAGGGGTCATCTTCTGTAACAAGCCTAGCACAGTGGAGTACTGGTGTGTGGTTGGGTGCTGCACAAACAGAAGCAGCAAAGGTCTGAAGGTGGTTACCTTTGGAAATCCTGAGAATGTAACTTTTGCTGGAACTAATAAAACTTAACCTCTTTCTCTCCCCTCCCAGGGACAAATAGAAATTGATGACCAGGTGGAAGGGCTGCAGTATTTAGCATCGCAGTATGACTTCATTGATCTGGATCGTGTTGGCATTCATGGCTGGTCCTATGGAGGCTACCTCTCTCTTATGGCTTTAATGCAGAGGTCAGATATCTTCAGGGTATGTTCATACATCGAGTACTTATTCTGGTGGCGCAGACAGAATTTTTCCCTTAATTCTGTGACCTCCCACGGGTGTTCACAGCACAGGCTTTTGAGCTTGCTCTAGACAAGTGAGGACACAGCGCTCTGGCTGTTTTCTTCAAGACTCTTCTATTTGGGTGACTTCAGAGAGAAGTTGCTTTTCTAGCAAACGTTTCTTCCACAGTATTTCTAATTAGGCTTCCAGGCTTTGATTATTTTTTTGATACTTCACAGATGACAGATATGAAAATCTATTCACTCTTTAAGGCTAGTGCCTGCTAACAAGCCACAGTACCTTTTAAAACCAGCAGTCAGTGGGTGTTGCAAGAGCAGTTATAAGTTATTGTGTGACCTTGTGTTGTCTCTTCAGTTCTCTCCACTTGTGTTTCTGTGTGAAGCATGGGGATGAGATGCTCTTCCTCCGTAAGCCTGTTGTCACTGTTAGGCTTTGGGTGGTGTCTGGGACTGGTATTCAAATTGAGTCTGTACTGGTACAGCTACGGGACTCAGCTTTCCAGAGACAGTGATACCAGTACAGCCCCAATACTGACAGAGATGCCTCAAATCAGAAAATTGCATTTGTGGAATTAAGTGCTGCGCTTTCCTACCTCTCCACACAAATTTGCAGCTTTTCTCCCCAGGAGAGTGTGGTGGTCTTATTTGAGTGTAACCACCCCAAGGAGCGTGGTGTGACCGCACCATCACTGTGCTTGCTTCCCCCAGCTCCAAATGAGCCAGACATAATCTTGACCTGATGTGAAGGTGTGGTGTTGTCCATGACGCTTCCTGCATTAATGCGAGCAGGGTGCTTTTGGGCAGAACACGCTTGCCATCCAAGAAGCCTGGCATGTAAGAGGAGTGTGGGGCTGTTCAGGTAGGCCAATTTTACTGGAATATCTGAGAGTCTGTTCTCGTGAGCTGGGGTGAGGAGGAACAACTGGTCACCCTGGTCAGCTGAGCACAGAAGGATATTCCCTCTCTGGAACTGTGTAAGAGAGCTTTAAACTGTTGGACTGTTGAGCTTGCAATAACTTAACTGTGCTGGTACAGCTATACCAATCTCAGGTCACCTATGCTGAAGGTATCTTATATAGTCTCAGCTGCTGCTCGCTTTGTGTCAGCTGAGCTCTTTGTCCTGTGAACCAGCTAAGGGAAATGAT